GTGAGGGGGTAAAGGAGGTTTTTGTGGTGCGCGAGGGTCATTCGGCTTCCAGCAGGCATGCTGAGCGTGTTTCGATTAAGGAGTGAATGGAGACAACTGGTTTTTAATACTTGAACGAGTGCTGTGGAGTGTGAGCAAAGTAACATTTATGCAGTGGATTCAGGGAAACCCGGCAGCCGGACCTGAGTCTCTGGAGATGGGAAGTACCAGCCTGCACTCTGAAGGAGGGGGTTTAATGTTGCAAGTTTTAAAGAACTGTAGTGTAGAAGCACCCTTCTGGCCAAGACTAGTGATGGGAGTGAATGAATGTGACAGTTTTTCTTTTTTCGGGCCACCCTGCCTTGGCTGGAATCCGGCCAGTGTGATAATAAAAAATATAAATATATATATTTACCACTATTATATATATATATATACATAAAAAATATAAACTATATAATAATTATATATATATATAGATATAAATATATTATACAGGCGATCCCCCAACTTACGATACAAGTTACGTTCCAGAAGCTGTTCTAGCTTGAATTGTTCGTAAAGTCCTACATTTTGCCACTTTTTCTACTTGTTATATTATTTATGTATTGTTTATAATATCTATATTATTTGTGTTCTCGTCTCTGCGCCATTGTTCGTTGAAACTTTAAAGAGACCAAACTACCGTACATATCAGCAATGTACGGTTCACCTTAATTCTAACCAATATATTAAAATTAAATATATACCAATAATAAAAACTTTCTTACCCTTTTAATTGGAACAATAAACTAACACACAACAGTCTGTCTTCGTATCTCCGAATGGTCGGAACTCGAAAGCTTCGTAATAGAGAAGTCAACATTATAATGCAGTACAAACGCAGACACGGTTATCTCATGCCACAACAAGCCAGGCGGGGGGAATCTTCAGCTTAAGATCTTCTCAACCACGCTCTCCTTTCGTCAACAGGAGCAGCAACAGGTGGATTAGGGGAAGATTTCCCTAAGTAAAGGTAGCATCTTGACGCCAACCAGTTCCCCTCAGAACTTCCCTTCAATCCATCTTGTTGCTGGTCTTGCATGCATTTACATAACTCCTGAGGACTCACGGAGACACGTGGGAAAGATGTTGAGCTGAAGACTTTTCCCGACCCCCAGTGGCTTGTCTTAGCACATATTAACACTCAGAAAGCACTATACATAAATTTGGTTTGTACAAGCGTGTAGGTTTCCTATAACAGAGGTTATCTCTCCCATGAGCCGTCTCATATGCTATATATGTTGACTTGTAAATTAAGGAACATAAGAAAGAAGGGACTGGCAAGCAGACCTTTTGGCCACATGCAGCATGGTCCAATTTTTTTCTAAACGGCTTAAGCCAATGCCCTAACCAAGTCAGGCAGATCGCATTTACTTAAGGAAAGAGCACGCATCTGACCTAGTGCATAAGCTAGTCCAGGAGTCCAACTCACAACCACCCACACCTACTCATCGTCTTTAACAAACCTAATTTTAAAACTACAACAACGTTCTTAGCTTCTATGACGGTTAACTCTCGGGAGTTCGCTTCCACTCATCCACAACTCTATTACCAAACCAGTGCTCTCTCTATATCCTTCCTGAATCTGAAATTTTCCAGCTTAAACCCATTTGCTGCGAGTCCTGTCTAGCCAGAAATTTTTAGCACGCTATTTTACATCCCCTTTAATTATCCTGTTTTCTCAATTTATACACCTCAATCATATCCCCCCCCCCCCAATTCTACGTCTATCTAGAGAGTGCAGATTCATGGTCCTCAGTCTTCCACATAGGGATGATTTCTGATACATATGGATCAACTTGTCATCCTCCTTTGTACGTTTTCTAGTGCATTTGTTATCCATTCTATAATAAGGTGACCAAACAGTGCAACATAATCTAAATAGCCTAACCAAAGTATATAGAGTTGAGAACAACCTGAGACTTCTGTTATTTATACTTCTTGATATGAAGTCCCCAAGGATTACAGTTAGCTTTATTGCACACTTATGCACGGTGTTTGCTTGTTTCAGATTACTGCTTAACCAGAATTCCTAAATCCTTTGCAATCGGTATTATTACGATCTAACATTATTTAGTTTATAGCTGGCAACGGATATTTTCCAGTCTCTCAACCATTCTTAGACCTTATGCAGTTTGTCTATATAAACTGCATCTGCCACTTCTCCGATCACTGCATCAGTCTAATTCAAATCATCCTGGAGTGCTCTAATGTCCTCATTAGAATGAATTGGACTGTCCATTTTGATGTCATCAGCAAATTTGCTTATATCGCTATTTATTCCCTCATCTATGTCGTTTATGTAAATTGTGAACAAGGGGTCCAACATTTACCCCTGAGGAACACCGTTTGTGAAGTGCCCCCATTCTGATTTCTCCCCACTTATGCAAACTCTCTGCTGCCTATTTGTCAACCATGCCTCTACCCAGGAAAAAAATTCTCCTCCTATTCCACATGGAATAGGAGAATTTTTTTCCTGGGTAGAGGCATAGTTTACAAGTAGGCAGCAGAAACTTAAGTTTCCTCAATAGCCTCTGATGTGGAACTATATTGAAAGCCTTACCATGATGTACCTCCTTAAATACCTTAGTGAAAAAAGTTAGTAAATTCGTAAGACAGGAACGCCCCTTTGTAAAACCGTGCAGAGATTCATTAATCAGTTTATGCCTTTCAAGATGGTTATGAATTGCCTCGGCAGTTATTGATTCCATAAATTTTCCCACTATGTAGGTAAGACTCGTTAAACATATAAATAAAGTTGCAGTTTATTTTTCGTTTTTTAATTTTGTTAATTTTATGTTTTAAAGTTAATTCATCGCATATAAAACATACTTTTCAGCTGTATTCTCCATACAACTGGATTCAATAAATTATTTTGAATTTGAATGCTTCCTGTGTTTTCAGGATTCTGTGGACTTTCAAATCTATTAGGTAATTGTGATTTACACAAATTTATTTAGGGTTAATAACCAAAAAAGTTCGGCCACCTCTGGAGCCTAGGCGACACGTTTTTGAATAAGGCTACCTGTTGCACACGTCTTACTTGACTCTCCATTTTACTCGGAGACGCTTTAAAAGAAGGGATGCCTTGTTGATGGTGAGTGGCTCCTGATTCAAGGAACTGGAGCTACCCTCCCCTTTCTTGGATCCTGATTACCTCTCATTCCTCAGGCGTTGTATGACTTGTGTTTAGTGCTTCCCCAGAAATATAATAGACTCGATGAACATAACCTTATGTTAGAAACGAACAAAATGATGATGTTTTTACAGCAACGTTTCTGAATCTTTCGTCATTTCTGACATGCTGTCACACTGAATCCCCTCCCTTGCCTCTCCCCCCTCCTTTTTATTTAAAAATTAAAGTGATTTAGTCCTTTGTTTCATTTTTCAACTTGTATGAAACAAAGCTTTAAATTACATCTTGACAAAGATATTGAAGAAATATATATTTGATTAAAAAGGTTTTAAACAAATCACATTTTAATGGGATTGTTTTTTAACACGACTCCTTACAATTATGAAGGTATTATGTTATAAACTGTATGTGAGCAGAGACGTGCCAACACGAGCACACTGATGTCGGTATGATGATCCTGGAGACAAAACTATTGCTGGAGATACAAACAAGGCTCCACACCTTAAACTTATTTTAACAGAATTCTCTCTCTCTCTCTCTCCTCTCTCTCTCTCTCTCTCTCTCTCTCTCTCTCTCTCTCTCTCTCTCTCTCTCTCTCTCTCTTATTTTAAGTTTCCATTTCATATCCCTGTATGGTATTTTACATAACACAGGAGTTACCACTACCCAGAGACCAAGCACCAATACCAACTACTACACACCGGAAGTAACTACTTCCTCCCTACTTATTAAACACTTTCTCCTTTATTACTAAATAATCCGTGCGTGTCCCATCCCATCTTCCTAAGACGACGTTGCACTGTCGACGGTCTTAGAAAAGGGAAGCTAAAACTACTTTTCGAGAGTATGTTTCATACGATTTTTTTTATAGACAGCATTTCTGTGTTTACTCATTCTTGCTACTTCAAGTGGGCATACTTCCCCATCATACATTTCTGCACTTATTTTTTTTTACTTTTGGTTCGAATATGTGATTTTTAATGTTACAAAAACAACGTACGTTGAGAAAATAGTTACTGCGCAGGTCAGAAATCCGTGTGTGTGTGTGTGTGTGTATATGTGTGTGTGTGTGTGTGTGTTCGGATGTACCGTGGTTGCTCGCCCCACTTCCTCTGCTGTTATATCCTCGAGTTTTTCTTAGGATAGGTTGTATCTTTCTCCCCACTACACGCTCACGCACCGCCTCATTCAAGAATAAAGTGCCCTCGTTATTTTATAGTAATCACTAAACACCCCACCTCCCCCACTGTCAGCCCCCATCTCTGTGCTCCTTCAGCCCCCTCCCCCCACCAGTTCATGGTACCGAACACTTGCGTAGCTAATCGCGTTACTAAAAACTTGACTTAGAAACAGCCACTAATGGTATCTACAGCACCACTCTTGGCCACTAATATTGCTGCCCTACCTATTACTGCTGCTAATATTGCAACAACTTTTTCTTAAATTACCATACTACTACTACTACTACCACCATACTAGTTACCTCTGTACTACCACTGTGCTATTACTACCATACTAGGTACCACTGTACTAATAAACTATACTACCACTACCAATATAACATACGAACTCCTTCGTTTTGTACTATTAATACCACCCTGCATCTAATTACTGCCTATAAACTATTATAATTATGGTACTTCTCTAATATTATCTCAGTAACTTCTATTTCCATACATTCCTTCATTAACCACTTGTTAACTACTGCCTCACTAACTACTGCTTCATTAGCTACTTCCCAACTACTGCCTCAGTAACTACTTCCTATCTCCTTACTAACTACCAGCTCCCTACTAATAAAGCCAGTAACTACCACTGCCCTATTCCTCTCCTCCCCGCGCAGGACTTCCCGATGTGGATCCTGTGGGCGTGGCATCCTCACGACCCTGGCGAGGACCTTCACCCAGAATACCACCAGAACAACAGAGGAGCCCGCCGCCTCTGCATCCTCCGGTCGGACTGCTGGCCACCATCACCACCGCCACCCACCAGGGGCGCCGCCGCCTCCCTCACCGCCACCGTCGCTGTTGCTGCTGCCTCCTGCCTCCTGGTCCTCCTTCCACAGTTGCACCTTCTCTTATGAGCTCAGGGAGAGCTCCTGTGTAAACCGCCTGTGTGTGTGTGTTTTTGTTTTTGGTTTCCTCCCTTCGCCAAGGGAGGTTGTATTAGGTTGTATGGGTAACTTTAGTTTGGGGATGATTATAGTGATGGTCATGATATTTACAAATGAAGGTAATAAATATTCAGTATTTTGAGCTTGGGGGAAATGTTACAGCTGGGCCTTGGAAACGGAAGGGAGGGGGGGATGGTGCAGTGGAAGACTCAAGTAGGGCCTTATTGTGTGCACACGTTTGTATGCGTGTGTGTGGTGTGCGTGTTTGTGTATGTGTGTGTGTATTTTGAAGCACACGCATGCGTGTAGGAAAGAGGAACAATACAATGTGATGATTCCTACACGCGTCACTTCTTCCCCATTAATGAGGCACGGAAACTCTCTCGCCTCTCACCATGCTCTCTAACTTAGGAAACTGTAATTCATTCTCTCTCTCTCTCTCTCTCTCTCTCTCTCTCTCTCTCTCTCTCTCTCTCTCTCACACACACACATACACACACACACACACACACACACACACACACACACACACACACACACACACACACACACACGCACGCACGCACGCACCTACGGAATTGAAGAACCAAAATCATATACCAACGAGGAAGATAGAACAGTAATACCAGTCGTGTTAGGGAATTTAAGGAATTAAAAATGAAACGCATGAAAATCAATTAGAGGGTAGGTATAAAAATTATAAAGAGAAAATAAGATCTGCCAGTTATGGTTACTTGTCAATATTTCAACCCATTTTCTATGTTTGGAGCAGTGTAAACATCCAGGGAAGACTGTGTTAAGTGTGGCAGTCTATATCCCTGTTCTTTCTTTCAAGACCTCAGACTTGGGAATGTCGTATACATTCAGCCTTTGGTAATGATCAAATTAAGGCTTCCATCTAATGAGATTATGTAATGATCAAAATGAGTTTTTCAGGTACTGGTAATAAAAGTATTCCTATATGTTTGGACACGAGTGAGTCAGAATTTAGTGTCTTCAGCATTTCAATTTGTATATTGGTAAATTTAATTACTTTTTTTTTCTGGAAACCATCACTAAGCTGTCAAAAGTCGTCACTCCTGAAACAATCTCTTTATTCAGGGTAAACACACTGAAGCTTCTTAGGGATGACGCAAGTTCCTCCGTCTTCTAATATGTTAATTTTTCAACTATAATCTACCTTGTCCATAACTACTAACGCATTTGCTTTGTCTATTTCGTAAGGTGAAGTCCAGGATCTTTCCTTAATTCATGGTATAACTTAACAAATCTTTGATGACAATTGTGTTGCAGAGACCTAAGCTTTGCAACGCAATTGTCCTCAAAGATTTGTTAAGTTATGCCATGAATTAAGGAAAGATCCTTGACTTCACCTTACGAAATAGACAAAGCAAATGCAATAGTAATTATGGACAAGGTAGATTATAGTTGAAAAATAACATGTTATTAGAAGACTTGGGAACTTATGTGCCTCTTAAATATATCATTAAGCTTATAGACGTCATTTTAATAAAGCTTTCATATGTTCTTGGCTAATCAAAATAAGTCATTCTTTTTTTTATCGTCCCCCTTTAAGTTTTTTTTACTATACTGAGGTGCGTGTTATCTAAAAAAAAAAAAAAAAGCCTTTTTTTTTTTAACAAATTGAAACATTGCTAAATTTGTTTAGTAAAATGACACAAGTGCAACTAATCCAACATTTTATTGTGGCAATGTTTCGCTCTCCAGGAGCTTTGTCAAGCCGTGAAGAGCAAAACGTTGCTACAATAAAATATCACATTAGTTGCACTTGTGTCCTTTTAACATACTGTTGGTAATTCTACCAACATTATTACAATGCTAAATTTGTTGAATCATGTTTTCTGTAATCAGAAATGTTACATTCGTAAGAAACCTGACGCAGGAGTCAACGAAGTTAGCTACATTAGTTAATTAGATTATCTTGGAACAAGACTTTGTGCATTCTTCTTCAAAACATATGCAAATAAATTTTTTCTTACCCCCCCCCCCCTTAGCGATCGGCATTAATTTCCACAAGACGGTAAAGTAGTCTTGATCCAACCTTCATCTTTCTCTTCTTCTTTTTTCAAAGGTTGTATCATCATCCATTCACATTCGATCGTCACTTTTTAATTTGATCATCGAAATGTGACCGACATCACTTTTTTTTTTTTTTTCGTCAGATTGTTTGAATTTAACCGTTGTCGCGGAGGTGGTCGTCACTGCTCACGTCAAGGTAACCTCAGTTAGCAGTTGTCGTCATGACGTTTCTCAGGAAAATGTGTGTTCGTGATAACCCCCGCGTCAGTGCTACACTCGGGTCCTTGAATACTTCCTAAGGTCCTTGAATCCTTCGTGTCCTTGAATACTTCCTAAGGTCCTTGAATCCTTCGTGTCCTTGAATACTTCCTAAGGTCCTTGAATCCTTCGTGTCCTTGAATACTTCCTAAGGTCCTTGAATCCTTCGTGTCCTTGAATACTTCCTAAGGTCCTTGAATCCTTCGTGTCCTTGAATATTTCCTAAGGTCCTTGAATCCTTCGTGTCCTTGAATACTTCCTAAGGTCCTTGAATATTTCCTAAGGTCCTTGAATCCTTCGTGTCCTTGAATACTTCCTAATATCCTTGAATATTTCCTAAGGTCCTTGAATTCTTCCTAAGAGCCTTGAATTTTTCCTAAAGCTCTTGAATACTTCCTGAGGTCCCTGAATCTTTCCTACGGTCCTTGAATATTTCCTAAGGACTTTGAATCCTTCCTCGTGTCCTTGAATACTTCCTAAGGTCCTTGAGGCCTTCGTGTCCTTGAATACTTCCTAAGGTCTTCCGTGTCCTTGAATACTTCCTAAGGTCCTTCATGTCCTTGAATACTTCCTAAGGTCGATGAATCCTTCCTCGTGCCCTAGAATCCTTCCTCCTCGTGTCCCTGAATATTTCCTAAGGTCCTTGAATCCTTCCTAACGTCCTTGAATCCTTCCTACGGTTCTTGAATATTTTCTAAGGTCCTTGAATCCTTTCTACGGTCCTCGAATATTTTCTAAGGTCCTTGAATCCTTCCTAAGAGCTTGAATTCTTCCTAGTGTCCTTGACTCCTCCCTCAAACGTTTAGATCCTTCCTAAGAGCCTTTAATCCTTCCTAATATCCTTGACTCGTCTCTATGGCCCTTGAATCCTTCCTGAGAGCCTTGAATACCTAATAAGATCCTTCTTTCTGATGTCCCTAAATCCTTCCTCGTGTCCTTTAATACTTCCTAAGGTCCTTGAATTCTTACTAAGAACCTTCCTAAGGTCCTTGAATTCTTCTTACGACCCTTTCTAACGTTCTTGAATCCTTAAGAACCTTCCTAAGGTCCTTGAATCCTTCTTACGACCCTTTCTAACATTCTTGAATCCTTAAGAACCTTCCTAAGGTTCTTGAATCCTTCTTCGTGTCTTTCATTCCTTTCTAAGGTCCTTTAATTCTTCCTAGTGTCCTTGAATCCTTCATAGTGTCCTTTAATACTTCCTCCTCGTATCCCTAAATCCTCCTTCAGAGCCTTAAACTTTCCTGTCTTTAAATCTTCCATATCCTTGAAATATTCATATCCTTGATTCCTTCCTAAAGTCCTTGAATCTTTCCTCATATCCTTGAATCCTCTGTTCCCGAATCCTTCATGTTCTTAAATCCTACACGTTCTTGAGTTTGTGTCCCTGAATCCTTTGTCCTTGACTCCTTCATGACCCTGAATATTTTCCCAGAGCCTTGCTCCATAGATCCTTAATCTTCACGGATCCTTAGGTCCATAATGCTCACGGATCCTTAGGTCCTTAATCCTCAGGGATCCTTAGGTCCTTAATCTTCACGGATCCTTAGGCCCTTAATCCTCACAGATCCTTGAATCTGTCCTATTGAATTCTTATTCACATCCTTGACATCTTTAGGTCCTTGAATTTAAAACTGTGACAACTGTATAGGTCTAAGATCGTGACAACAGTATATGCCTACAACCGTGACAACGGTATATGCCCAAAACCGTGACAACAGCATAGTCCCACAACCATGATAGTATAGGCCTACAATCGATACAGACGAGACAGTATAAACCTACAATTGTGACAGCAATGTAGGCCTACAATCCTGACAAAAGTATAGAATTACAACGGTGACAACAATAAGACCTACATCCTTTATTACCGTTATGACCACACTATAGGCCTACAGCTGTGACCACAGACTTGAACTATGACTGCAGTATACACCATGCTATGAATGACATTCGGCAGGATGTGGAAGAAGTCATTCCTTGTCAGAATACTGTTGTCAGTTTGGATCAGCCAAATCCACTTTATTGCTAAATAAATAAAGTGATTTTCAAAAATCCACGTGGTCTTCCACGTGGAGAATCCCATATTGAGAGGGCTACATAGCGGATAGGAAAGTGGTTGGAAGACTGCGAGTGTTGATATTTCAGTACAAGCAGAAGTGTCGTCGCCTGGCACTGTCGACTCCATCATGAAGGTGTCACGTATTGCTCGTATGAGACTCGCACATCGGATAACTGCCAGCAGCCTTTATCTGTGTAGACTACGTAGCCAAAAGCTTTGACCACTGGTGGTTTACTCTGAGGAAGGAAGTCCCCTGTTTTCTATCACATTAGTTTCCATTTGCAACTTTTATTATTCTCCTGTGTACGACTAGTACGGGAACAAAACTTTCTCCTATTCACAAACTTGCACCATGGTGCTTCACGTTAGTCTCACATTTTATACACGCTGGCTGCCAGGTCATGTGCAAGACATAACCAGTGTCCCAGTCACAGGCTCTTGGTCTAAACCAAAGCGAAGAATTTATTATGTACTGAACAAATGGTGGGTTTGAACTTACTCACATTATACGAGTTTAAACTTACATTATACGAGTTTAAACTTAGGATGGACTGTTATGTGGATGGTCAAGAGACATCACCATGAGCAGAACAAAATTTTACTATGCAAATTTGCTTTATAGGTTAAACCAACGAATGTTGTGATGGAAGACATAAGCAACCCATTCACAAAGCAGAGTGATGACGTGTTAAACTAAACACCAAAGAAATATGCAATGCAACTATTGCAAGATCAGCTCAAAAGGCACAGCAGACAAGACATTATCAGTGCAATGCCCCGGTACCGGTGGGGATTGAACTTGCGGCAAGTGAGTCGTAAAACTCCAGGCCAGCACGTAAGCCACCGGGCCAGCTGGCTACAATAAGAGACATCCAACTAGGTATTTTTATACATCATAGGAAGGCTTGCATGGGTCCCACTGTGGGACCCGTGCTAGCATTCCTATGGTATATAAAGATACCTAGTTAGATTAATCATATTGCAGACAAATGGCCCAGTAGCTTACGCGCTGGCCTGGAGTTTTAAGATTTTGTGATTCAGTACAATGCCTACGTAACTGAGCGACTGCTGGGCAAGAGACCCCTTACTAAACCCAACTGTCAAAAATTGACTCCTGTCTGGATAACTTTCCAGCCCCATCCCCAAACATCTTGCTGCTTGGTGACTTCAATCTAAGACACACAGAATGGAAGAATATAGTAAATAATGTCGTAGCAGAAACAATCCCTGGAGGTAGCTCAGATGAAATGTCACACACACAGGAGCTGCTGAATTTCTGCAACAAACACACCCTAAATCAGCAGATAGTGGAGCCAACAAGACTGGAGAACACACTGGACCTTATTTTCACAAATAATGAGGACCTGGTAAGGAATATAACAATATAAAAAACAACAAATTATGATCACAATCTAATCGAAGTCCAGACTTGCATGCGCAGGAGTCCTGATCGGCAAGATGCATACAGTTATGAGGGTACCTTTACCAAATTCAACTTCAACAACAAGAACATCATCTGGGATCAGGTAAACTATGCCCTAAATGAAACATGTTGGGAGGACATCTCAAATTACATGGACCCTAACCAATGCCTCGAAAAGATCACCCTCCTGGTAGCTGAAGTATGTTCAAGGTATATTCCTATAAGACAAAAGAAAAGAAGTAAACTGGAGAGAGAGAGATGCTCCCTCTACAGGAGAAGACGAAGAATCATTGAGCGCCTCAAGAATGCCAGATTATCTGATACACGGAAGGAAGTGCTAACCAGGGAAGTGGAAAATATTGACCTGAAGTTAAAGGACTCATACAGGATCCAGGAGAGTCAAGAGGAGCAGAGAACCAGATTTATCCACTATCAATATCGTAGAATGGCAATCTACGCTTATGGGCAAAGTCTCGTCTGTTTTCTCATACACACAAAGGTAGCCCTGAGACAGATGTAATTATTGATGGAGCTGTTGTAGTAAACACTGATGTCCACGGACGGCAAGACTTGACTACGCACTGAAGGTTTT